TAATGCACTGTTTATTAAGAGAGTTCAGTTTTCCTCATCACTGCTCAGATTCATTGTGATCTTCCTCAAGAGAGCCTTTCTGACAAATATATCTATCATCAGGTAAAATCGAACTGCAACACAATATGTCACATTTTCCCCAATTTAACTGCATTACTAGTAAATGCTTTGGTAATTAATACAGAAACTACAATGTGCTGTTTAATTTTAGTTTAGGTCAGCCAGCCACTCCATCCCAGGCTACCCTGTTCACGCAAACCACCAGACCACTAATGGTGTACTAACCCTATTGTTAATGTAACTGGTTCCAAACTAGGTAGATTTGGCCACTATGTTCGCGTGGGAAAAATTTATTCACTTTACAAATGCAAACATTCAGCAGACCATTTAAATAACCTGTCTGAACACTGTTTTCAAGGCAGTATGGGTGCACCCTCAAACACTCCGAGAAATAGCCTAGCCTGTACCAATCATAGCACATACACATGTAAAAGGATAGACACAATACACCATAGCCTAGACTTTTGAAAAAGAGAATGATATACATAGTTTGCTCAAATGTGATTATCTCTATATACAAACACCAATCATATCAAAGTATAGTAGTAAAAAAACATACAATGTTCAATCACAGGTGTCCGAAAGAAAACAGACCATCTATCTTTCAATAATTCTAGAAGATATATTGTCGTGTTTTCTAGCCTATAAGAAAATACAGTTGCACGGGCAGAGATTCAGTAGGCACAGAAGTTGTTGCCATGGTTCTTAACGCGCTCGCCTGCCTGTCTGTTCACGAGGAAGCGGTTAATTCCCGCAGATCAAAAACAGTCAGCAGGCAGAGCGTTTCTCCCCGTCTGAAAAGTTCTTTGGACATGTAAACGCTAAAACATGTTGCCAGTCGTGGAAGTTCTTAACACCAACCTAGTAGCGGTCGCAATATTTTGCAGATAAACAGAGAGAAGAAACGCAGATATGTGGATGCATGGATTCTCTGGCTTGTTATGGCCAATGTTAAAAAAAAAGCTTGCTATAATTATCGCAGCTGCTGGTCAAGTTGACAATTACTGTCATACCAAAACGGCCCTCAGGCCACTGGGAAATCACTTGAGAAGACTTGCACCCTCCTTGTTTTTCAACATTAAATTAAAAAAAAATTGCAGACTTGCAGGTCTGATCAATGTTTGCTATAAATGATCAGTTCCTTTAAGTAACTGTATCTGAAGTGTATTTTTGTACAGACGTCTAGCTTCCTCAGTTGTTGAAGGTTCACTGTCACATTGACTGGAGTGCAGAGATGATGTTTGTGTGGAGAAGAGGAGGAAAGATCAGAGTCTGCAGGATCGAGATTCTGTCTGTGAAGATGACTGGTCTAAAGAAAGACCTCTCGTCTTCAGTAAAACGCTTATTGAAATCCTCGGTCCTTATCCTGCTTGACCTATCAGCTGCCTTTGCCTTTCAGTGTATCGTGGCAAGGACAATTATCCTCTTTGACTGTCTGACCATTTTAACTGTCTTCATTAGAGATAACTGCTGTATGTGTTTTTTATTACAGGGTGGATGACAAAGAAAACAAATCTACACGTGACAGACATGAAGGATGTGAGTAAAAGCCCACTGGAATATCTTAAAGAAAATGTTATTAAAGCCAACTGGAAGATTGGTCTCTGCATGTTTCATGGCTCTGGTTAATCCAGTAACATTGTTCTGCTCTGCATGTTGGGAAAGATGATGTCTTGTTGCTGTGTTGCCTCACTGCAAGAATGTATTGAATCTCTGTCCTTGTTACATGTGATTGTATGGACTTGGTTATAACTTTGCATCTTTAGACTTTTAAACATGACTGTGGTCTTCTACATCTTGACCTTATTCGATGGTTTTCCAGTAGAGTTCAACAGGACACATGGGTAACGACCTGCTCCAAAGGGCCCTGGCCAGCCTTGAACTGGTTACAGTGGTTACAGGTTTTTGAATGTTGGGTCACCAGGACGTCCAAAAGTGAGTTTGACGTCTGCTTCTGCTTCTCTCCATCCGATGTCTCTGATCACCACCAGATCCGTCTGAGGACGCCAGAGAGGATCAGCTGTGTCCTGATGATCCAGAGAGGTTGAAGCAGCAGCAGCTTCTGTGTGGAGAGGCTCTGAATACAAAGGTCACTTTTTCACTTGAACATTTTTATTTTTCAGTGATCAGATTCAGTTTCCTTAGTTTTACCGCCCCCAGGGTTTAATATTTCTTAACTTCTAAACTCCTCCCACTCCTAATTCCACCGCTTCATCTATGAAACCTCTAGCTGCTGTACCAGAGCTCTGCAGGTTTCACTTGTGCAGGATCATTCCCTGAAGAATAATGATAATTTAGTCATTTTGACAACAGATAAGCAAGTGATGTCTCTGACTGACCCACTGAGTCCTGTCTCACTTTAAATATTAGCAAGACTGCATGTATGTATTTTTCACTCAGTAGAAAATATTTTCATCATCCTGAAATCTTTTTAGGGTGACAAGCTTCAAATAGTCTCAGACTTCATGAACCTTTAGATAATTATCGACTCACACATAACCTTTAAGAAACAGGTGAAGGGTCATCCATGTCAAACTGAACCTTAGCGTCTTCAGATTCATCAGGAACCAGTTGTCACCAGCTGCTGCTATGTTGCACTCTGTTTCCTCCACACCGTCATATTGTATTACCACATGGTCCTGAGCAGCAGAAACATTCTAAGGCCCATGCACAGTTTATACAAAAGAACTCCAAATACTGGACAAAAAGACAGTATCCAAATTAAGAACACTGGTGTCAGTGTGAGTTGGAGATGTTCATTCATGCTTTTATTTCCTCTTGTTTAGATTACTGTAACAGTCTTTTTACTTGTTTGAGCAAGAAGGAGCTTTACCGTCTCCAGGCTGTTCAGAACTCTGCTGCAAGGCTTTTAACTCACATTAACATAAGAGTACACATCACACCTGTTTTAGCAGCACTTCACTGGTTACCAGTCCAGTATAGAATTCAGTTTAAAATCCTGGTTCTTACTTTTAGAGCCTGCATGGTCAGGTTTCTCCCTACATCTCTGAGTTGATACAGCTTCATACTCTGACCCACAGATTGAGGTCATCAGGTCAGAGGCGGTTAGTGGTTCACTAAACTCATTTTAAAACCAGAGGGGATCGATCATTCCAGCAGCGGCACCGAGGCTGTGGAACGCTTTGCCTCCCTTTCCACGTGCTGTGAATTCTGTTGATTCTTTAAAAAGCAATTGAAGACGCTGCTATTCAAGCAAGCTTTTAATTAGACGTGCATTTTTTATGGTTAGTTTCTATGTTTTCCATTTGTATTACATTTTCCTATGCATTGTATTTTACTTTGTTGTATTGTATTACATTTTATTGTGAAGCACTTTGTGATATTTATCTGTGAAAGGTGCTAAACAAATAATTTTTTGTTTATTTACTATTAACCACAAAGTAGACATACCAAAGGATTTTGTTGTGATTTAATGTTTTAAATGAATGTCTATTCTCTGTAACCTGACTCAAATTTGAACATTTGATGCCATTATTCTTTTGTGGATTTGCCTGCTCAGGGACAGCTGATGAAATTTAGCTACCAAGCTAACTTATAGACAGCTGATAACTCTCCAATGTTCCTGTTAAATAAAAAGACAAACTATAAATAGGAAAGAGTACACATAGTAAAAGTGAAGAAGAAAGGATCCTGTCACATGAACCTTACTGTGAGAGATGAGAGAGGCCAGTTTCTGCTCCCACCTCAAGGTGTTCTGTAACTAATTTAGTGCCTTTTTCAATTTTAGGAAAAGTCAAGTTTCACTCCTGAAATGCTGACTGACTCTGGAAAGACTTCATACAGGTAACTAAATCATAAAATGCAGAATAGTCCTCTCACACTTTAACCTACGCTTCACCTCCTCACAGTGATTAAACTTAAACCTACGCTTCACCTCCTCACAGTGATTAAACTTAAACCACGCTTCACCTCCTCACAGTGATTAAACTTTAACCCACGCTTCACCTCCTCACAGTGATTAAACTTAAACCACGCTTCACCTCCTCACAGTGATTAAACTTAAACCACGCTTCACCTCCTCACAGTGATTAAACTTAAACCACGCTTCACCTCCTCACAGTGATTAAACTTTAACCTACGCTTCACCTCCTCACAGTGATTAAACTTTAACCTACGCTTCACCTCCTCACAGTGATTAAACTTAAACCACGCTTCACCTCCTCTCAGTGATTAAACTTTAACCTACGCTTCACCTCCTCTCAGTGATTAAACTTTAACCTACGCTTCACCTCCTCTCAGTGATTAAACTTTAACCTACGCTTCACCTCCTCACAGTGATTAAACTTAAACCACGCTTCACCTCCTCTCAGTGATTAAACTTTAACCTACGCTTCACCTCCTCTCAGTGATTAAACTTTAACCTACGCTTCACCTCCTCTCAGTGATTAAACTTTAACCTACGCTTCACCTCCTCTCAGTGATTAAACTTTAACCTACGCTTCACCTCCTCACAGTGATTAAACTTAAACCTACGCTTCACCTCCTCACAGTGATTAAACTTAAACCACGCTTCACCTCCTCTCAGTGATTAAACTTTAACCTACGCTTCACCTCCTCTCAGTGATTAAACTTTAACCTACGCTTCACCTCCTCACAGTGATTAAACTTTAACCTACGCTTCACCTCCTCTCAGTGATTAAACTTAAACCTACTCTTCACCTCCTCTCAGTGATTAAACTTTAACCTACTCTTCACCTCCTCTCAGTGATTACACTTTAACCTACTCTTCACCTCCTCTCAGTGATTACACTTTAACCTACTCTTCACCTCCTCTCAGTGATTAAACTTTAACCTACGCTTCACCTCCTCACAGTGATTAAACTTAAACCTACGCTTCACCTCCTCACAGTGATTAAACTTAAACCACGCTTCACCTCCTCTCAGTGATTAAACTTTAACCTACGCTTCACCTCCTCTCAGTGATTAAACTTTAACCTACGCTTCACCTCCTCACAGTGATTAAACTTTAACCTACGCTTCACCTCCTCTCAGTGATTAAACTTTAACCTACGCTTCACCTCCTCTCAGTGATTAAACTTTAACCTACTCTTCACCTCCTCACAGTGATTAAACTTTAACCTACTCTTCACCTGCTCACAGTGATTAAACTTTAACCTACTCTTCACCTCCTCACAGTGATTAAACTTTAACCTACGCTTCACCTCCTCTCAGTGATTAAACTTTAACCTACGCTTCACCTCCTCACAGTGATTAAACTTTAACCTACGCTTCACCTCCTCACAGTGATTAAACTTTAACCTACGCTTCACCTCCTCACAGTGATTAAACTTAAACCTCCGCTTCACCTCCTCACAGTGATTAAACTTTAACCTACGCTTCACCTCCTCTCAGTGATTAAACTTTAACCTACGCTTCACCTCCTCTCAGTGATTAAACTTTAACCTACGCTTCACCTCCTCTCAGTGATTACACTTTAACCTACGCTTCACCTCCTCTCAGTGATTACACTTTAACCTACGCTTCACCTCCTCTCAGTGATTACACTTTAACCTACGCTTCACCTCCTCTCAGTGATTACACTTTAACCTACTCTTCACCTCCTCACAGTGATTACACTTTAACCTACGCTTCACCTCCTCACAGTGATTACACTTTAACCTACGCTTCACCTCCTCTCAGTGATTACACTTTAACCTACTCTTCACCTCCTCTCAGTGATTAAACTTTAACCTACGCTTCACCTCCTCTCAGTGATTACACTTTAACCTACGCTTCACCTCCTCTCAGTGATTACACTTTAACCTACGCTTCACCTCCTCTCAGTGATTACACTTTAACCTACGCTTCACCTCCTCTCAGTGATTACACTTTAACCTACGCTTCACCTCCTCTCAGTGATTACACTTTAACCTACTCTTCACCTCCTCTCAGTGATTAAACTTTAACCTACGCTTCACCTCCTCTCAGTGATTACACTTTAACCTACGCTTCACCTCCTCTCAGTGATTACACTTTAACCTACGCTTCACCTCCTCTCAGTGATTACACTTTAACCTACGCTTCACCTCCTCTCAGTGATTACACTTTAACCTACGCTTCACCTCCTCTCAGTGATTACACTTTAACCTACGCTTCACCTCCTCTCAGTGATTACACTTTAACCTACGCTTCACCTCCTCTCAGTGATTACACTTTAACCTACTCTTCACCTCCTCACAGTGATTAAACTTTAACCTACGCTTCACCTCCTCTCAGTGATATACACTTTGATTAAACTTTAACCTCCTCTTCACCTCCTCTCAGTGATATACACTTTGATTAAACTTTAACCTACTCTTCACCTCCTCTCAGTGATATACACTTTGATTAAACTTTAACCTCCTCTTCACCTCCTCTCAGTGATATACACTTTGATTACACTTTAACCTACGCTTCACCTCCTCTCAGTGATTAAACTTTAACCTACTCTTCACCTCCTCTCAGTGATTAAACTTTAACCTACGCTTCACCTCCTCTCAGTGATTAAACTTTAACCTACTCTTCACCTCCTCTCAGTGATTAAACGTTGACCTACGCTTCACCTCCTCTTCACCTCCTCTCAGTGATATACACTTTGATTACACTTTGACCTACTCTTCACCTCCTCTCAGTGATTACACTTTAACCTACGCTTCACCTCCTCTCAGTGATTACACTTTAACCTCCTCTTCACCTCCTCTCAGTGATATACACTTTGATTACACTTTGACCTACTCTTCACCTCCTCTCAGTGATTACACTTTAACCTACGCTTCACCTCCTCTCAGTGATTACACTTTAACCTACTCTTCACCTCCTCTCAGTGATATACACTTTGATTACACTTTGACCTACTCTTCACCTCCTCTCAGTGATTACACTTTAACCTACTCTTCACCTCCTCTCAGTGATATACACTTTGATTACACTTTGACCTACTCTTCACCTCCTCTCAGTGATTACACTTTAACCTACTCTTCACCTCCTCTCAGTGATTACACTTTAACCTACGCTTCACCTCCTCTCAGTGATTACACTTTAACCTACTCTTCACCTCCTCTCAGTGATATACACTTTGATTACACTTTGACCTACTCTTCACCTCCTCTCAGTGATTACACTTTAACCTACTCTTCACCTCCTCTCAGTGATATACACTTTGATTACACTTTGACCTACTCTTCACCTCCTCTCAGTGATTACACTTTAACCTACGCTTCACCTCCTCTCAGTGATTACACTTTAACCTACTCTTCACCTCCTCTCAGTGATATACACTTTGATTACACTTTGACCTACTCTTCACCTCCTCTCAGTGATTACACTTTAACCTACGCTTCACCTCCTCTCAGTGATTACACTTTAACCTACTCTTCACCTCCTCTCAGTGATATACACTTTGATTACACTTTAACCTACGCTTCACCTCCTCTCAGTGATTACACTTTAACCTACGCTTCACCTCCTCTCAGTGATATACACTTTGATTACACTTTGACCTACTCTTCACCTCCTCTCAGTGATTACACTTTGACCTACGCTTCACCTCCTTTCAGTGATTAAACATTGACCTACGCTTCACCTCCTCTTCACCTCCTCTCAGTGATTAAACTTTAACCTACTCTTCACCTCCTCTCAGTGATTAAACTTTAACCTACTCTTCACCTCCTCTCAGTGATTAAACATTCACCTACGCTTCACCTCCTCACAGTAATTAAACATTCACCTACTCTTCACCTCCTCTCAGTGATTAAACTTTAACCTACTCTTCACCTCCTCTCAGTGATTACACTTTAACCTACTCTTCACCTCCTCTCAGTGATTACACTTTGACCTGCGCTTCACCTCCTCTTCACCTCCTCTCAGTGATATACACTTTGATTACACTTTGACCTACGCTTCACCTCCTTTCAGTGATTACACTTTAACCTACGCTTCACCTCCTCTCAGTGATTACACTTTAACCTACTCTTCACCTCCTCTCAGTGATATACACTTTGATTACACTTTGACCTACTCTTCACCTCCTCTCAGTGATTACACTTTAACCTACGCTTCACCTCCTCTCAGTGATTACACTTTAACCTACTCTTCACCTCCTCTCAGTGATATACACTTTGATTACACTTTAACCTACGCTTCACCTCCTCTCAGTGATTACACTTTAACCTACGCTTCACCTCCTCTCAGTGATATACACTTTGATTACACTTTGACCTACTCTTCACCTCCTCTCAGTGATTACACTTTGACCTACGCTTCACCTCCTTTCAGTGATTAAACATTGACCTACGCTTCACCTCCTCTTCACCTCCTCTCAGTGATTAAACTTTAACCTACTCTTCACCTCCTCTCAGTGATTAAACATTCACCTACGCTTCACCTCCTCACAGTAATTAAACATTCACCTACTCTTCACCTCCTCTCAGTGATTAAACTTTAACCTACTCTTCACCTCCTCTCAGTGATTACACTTTAACCTACTCTTCACCTCCTCTCAGTGATTACACTTTGACCTGCGCTTCACCTCCTCTTCACCTCCTCTCAGTGATATACACTTTGATTACACTTTGACCTACGCTTCACCTCCTTTCAGTGATTACACTTTAACCTACGCTTCACCTCCTCTCAGTGATTACACTTTAACCTACTCTTCACCTCCTCTCAGTGATATACACTTTGATTACACTTTGACCTACTCTTCACCTCCTCTCAGTGATTACACTTTAACCTACGCTTCACCTCCTCTCAGTGATTACACTTTAACCTACTCTTCACCTCCTCTCAGTGATATACACTTTGATTACACTTTGACCTACTCTTCACCTCCTCTCAGTGATTACACTTTAACCTACGCTTCACCTCCTCTCAGTGATTACACTTTAACCTACTCTTCACCTCCTCTCAGTGATATACACTTTGATTACACTTTAACCTACGCTTCACCTCCTCTCAGTGATTACACTTTAACCTACGCTTCACCTCCTCTCAGTGATTACACTTTAACCTACGCTTCACCTCCTCTCAGTGATTACACTTTAACCTACTCTTCACCTCCTCTCAGTGATATACACTTTGATTACACTTTGACCTACTCTTCACCTCCTCTCAGTGATTACACTTTGACCTACGCTTCACCTCCTTTCAGTGATTAAACATTGACCTACGCTTCACCTCCTCTTCACCTCCTCTCAGTGATTAAACTTTAACCTACTCTTCACCTCCTCTCAGTGATTAAACTTTAACCTACTCTTCACCTCCTCTCAGTGATTAAACTTTAACCTACTCTTCACCTCCTCTCAGTGATTAAACTTTAACCTACTCTTCACCTCCTCTCAGTGATTACACTTTAACCTACTCTTCACCTCCTCTCAGTGATTACACTTTGACCTGCGCTTCACCTCCTCTTCACCTCCTCTCAGTGATATACACTTTGATTACACTTTGACCTACGCTTCACCTCCTTTCAGTGATTAAACATTGACCTACGCTTCACCTCCTCTTCACCTCCTTTCAGTGATTAAACTTTAACCTACTCTTCACCTCCTCTCAGTGATTAAACTTTAACCTACGCTTCACCTCCTCTCAGTGATTAAACTTTAACCTACTCTTCACCTGCTCACAGTGATTAAACTTTAACCTACTCTTCACCTCCTCTCAGTGATTAAACTTTAACCTACTCTTCACCTCCTCTCAGTGATTAAACTTTAACCTACGCTTCACCTCCTCTCAGTGATTAAACTTTAACCTACGCTTCACCTCCTCTCAGTGATTAAACTTTAACCTACGCTTCACCTCCTCTCAGTGATTAAACTTTAACCTACGCTTCACCTCCTCTCAGTGATTAAACTTTAACCTACGCTTCACCTCCTCTCAGTGATTAAACTTTAACCTACTCTTCACCTGCTCACAGTGATTAAACTTTAACCTACTCTTCACCTCCTCTCAGTGATTAAACTTTAACCTACTCTTCACCTGCTCACAGTGATTAAACTTTAACCTACTCTTCACCTCCTCTCAGTGATTAAACTTTAACCTACTCTTCACCTCCTCTCAGTGATTAAACTTTAACCTACTCTTCACCTCCTCTCAGTGATTAAACTTTAACCTACTCTTCACCTCCTCTCAGTGATTAAACTTTAACCTACTCTTCACCTCCCCTCAGTGATTAAACTTTAACCTACTCTTCACCTCCTCTCAGTGATTAAACTTTAACCTACTCTTCACCTGCTCACAGTGATTAAACTTTAACCTACTCTTCACCTCCTCTCAGTGATTAAACTTTAACCTACTCTTCACCTCCTCTCAGTGATTAAACTTTAACCTACTCTTCACCTCCTCTCAGTGATTAAACTTTAACCTACTCTTCACCTCCTCTCAGTGATTAAACTTTAACCTACTCTTCACCTCCCCTCAGTGATTAAACTTTAACCTACTCTTCACCTCCTCTCAGTGATTAAACTTTAACCTACTCTTCACCTGCTCACAGTGATTAAACTTTAACCTACTCTTCACCTCCTCTCAGTGATTAAACTTTAACCTACTCTTCACCTCCTCTCAGTGATTAAACTTTAACCTACTCTTCACCTCCTCACAGTGATTAAACTTTAACCTACGCTTCACCTCCCCTCAGTGATTAAACTTTAACCTACTCTTCACCTCCTCTCAGTGATTAAACTTTAACCTACGCTTCACCTGCTCACAGTGATTAAACTTTAACCTACTCTTCACCTCCGCTCAGTGATTAAACTTTAACCTACTCTTCACCTGCTCTCAGTGATTAAACTTTAACCTACTCTTCACCTGCTCACAGTGATTAAACTTTAACCTACTCTTCACCTGCTCACAGTGATTAAACTTTAACCTACTCTTCACCTCCCCTCAGTGATTAAACTTTAACCTACTCTTCACCTGCTCACAGTGATTAAACTTTAACCTACTCTTCACCTCCTCTCAGTGATTAAACTTTAACCTACGCTTCACCTCCCCTCAGTGATTAAACTTTAACCTACTCTTCACCTGCTCTCAGTGATTAAACTTTAACCTACGCTTCACCTCCTCTCAGTGATTAAACTTTAACCTACTCTTCACCTGCTCACAGTGATTAAACTTTAACCTACTCTTCACCTCCTCTCAGTGATTAAACTTTAACCTACGCTTCACCTCCCCTCAGTGATTAAACTTTAACCTACTCTTCACCTGCTCACAGTGATTAAACTTTAACCTACGCTTCACCTGCTCACAGTGATTAAACTTTAACCTACGCTTCACCTCCTCTCAGTGATTAAACTTTAACCTACTCTTCACCTCCTCTCAGTGATTAAACTTTAACCTACTCTTCACCTCCCCTCAGTGATTAAACTTTAACCTACGCTTCACCTCCCCTCAGTGATTAAACTTTAACCTACTCTTCACCTCCTCTCAGTGATTAAACTTTAACCTACTCTTCACCTCCCCTCAGTGATTAAACTTTAACCTACTCTTCACCTCCTCTCAGTGATTAAACTTTAACCTACTCTTCACCTGCTCACAGTGATTAAACTTTAACCTACTCTTCACCTCCTCTCAGTGATTAAACTTTAACCTACGCTTCACCTCCTCTCAGTGATTAAACTTTAACCTACTCTTCACCTGCTCACAGTGATTAAACTTTAACCTACTCTTCACCTCCTCTCAGTGATTAAACTTTAACCTACGCTTCACCTCCTCTCAGTGATTAAACTTTAACCTACTCTTCACCTGCTCACAGTGATTAAACTTTAACCTACTCTTCACCTCCTCTCAGTGATTAAACTTTAACCTACTCTTCACCTCCTCTCAGTGATTAAACTTTAACCTACTCTTCACCTCCTCTCAGTGATTAAACTTTAACCTACGCTTCACCTGCTCACAGTGATTAAACTTTAACCTACGCTTCACCTCCTCTCAGTGATTAAACATTGACCTACGCTTCACCTCCTCTTCACCTCCTCTCAGTGATTAAACTTTAACCTACTCTTCACCTCCTCTCAGTGATTAAACTTTAACCTACTCTTCACCTCCTCTCGGTGATTAAACTTTAACCTACTCTTCACCTCCTCTCAGTGATTAAACATTCACCTACGCTTCACCTCCTTTCAGCGATTACACTTTAGCTCATAAGGCTGTATAGCCTGCAATCTTCATCAAAACCTGGTCCAACAGCACTAAGCGTAGGCTTGTTAAACAACATTCACCTAAGCAGCGGTATAAGTTTTGTTATTACTGGACCTCAGTGCTGATTCAACATGGATGACCTGATACTGCTCGACAGGCTAGAAAAGTGGGAGGGACTTTCTGGCACTGTGCTTAATTGGTTAAAATCATATTTACAAGATTTGCTTTCTGTCAATTGGTAATAAAGGAATCTGGGCGAACAAAAATCACACGCTCAGATTATTGAACATTACAGAAATCAATTCTAAATCATACTGGGATCCAGTGTAAGAGGCTAAAACAGGCTTGATGTGGTCACTTCTCCTGATCTTGATAAATGCTCTGTTCAGTCTGGAGCCGATTAATAGGCTTTTGGTTGAGGCAGGTGAAGAGGCCGTTGCATTAGTCGAGGCATGAGGAGATGAAGGGATGTAAGATGGTCTCTGAAAGATAAACTAGATCGTACTTTGGAAGTATTTCTAAGATGATAAAAACAAGTCCACCCGAGTTTTGTTGTGTGCCGCTCAAAGATTAAATTACTGTCAATTTTAGTGTGAGCAGAAAAGTATCAGGTTGTGACCGAGCAGAAAGAAATATTAAAATATGTAAAATACAATATTAATAAAAACTGTTGAACTCAACAGATCATGTGACCAGCAGGCTGAAAGCCTGTTGTAATCTGCCCTTCTGTGTCCTGCAGGTTCAGGTGTCCTGGTCCAGGTGTGTTCCAGTGTGCTTTGACTGGACTGATGTTTGGTATGACTCAGGAGGCGGAGCTGCTGTACAGGACTGTCCAATGGGATGAGAGCCTCCTCCAATCAGCCGGCAAGACGGCTGCAGGGCTGCTGTTCAGTATCAAGTGTCCTGAGGATGCTGTCTGTCAGCTCCACCTGCCGCACTGTGAAACAAAGGACGGTGAGGACTTTATTGTGATTAGTGAGGGGAGAGTTTTGTCTGAGCAACGATGAAACAACATCCTGTTCTTACAGTCTGAACAGCTGTGGAGCTGAACATGGAAGGTTTGTCCTGAGGGGGGCGCTAGAATAAAGGGTTCAACATCTAAAGAGTATGAATGTGTTTCATTTCAGGGTAATATGACTGATGTTATGACTTATATACCACACTAGGGGACAGGCAGTGGGGTCCTCTGGAACCAGGAATGACCACAAAACATTTCATGGCATGTTGGACAGTTGTGTATGATGTTATTCTGACAGACTGTACAGAGCTGAAACAATTAGTCGATTACTCCACCAACAGAAAATTAATCTGCAAAGATTCTGATTATTTATTAATCATAACAAACTTTATTTGTATAAAACTTTTCATCCAAGCAATACAGCTCAGAGTGTTAATAAATAAATAAAGTAGATGCACAGAGTTCTTCACATGACAGTAGATTAGAATCCTGGTAGCTGAATGGTTCCGTTTCCCGTCTGACTCTATAAACTCTCCATAAAGGCACAACAGTTTATCCCCTCTAGGCAGGAGCCCAGGGCACAATGCCTCACCAGCTTCTCCTCCACCAACACTGACAGTTGAGTTCAGTAAATTGAGTTCAACGGTTATACTCTTCATTGACTTGATGTCCCGGATTAAGGACTAACATGGTGCTGAGGTTGTTATCAGTAAACCAGAAGTTTACCAGCTCTGTGTTTTCACAGCTCTGCTGCCTGACGGTCTGCTGTCTGTCGTCCACATCACTGATGATGGAATGAGCATCCTCGAGCCGCTGGAGATTACAGACACTCATGTGGTTGTCAAAGTCCCTCACCTGTCTGCCTTTGGCCTGGTCTGGGACATCGTTAAAAGGTTGTGGACAACATCTGTTTGCGGCCAAGTTCTGCTGTTCCTCGGACCACCGAACCCAAGAACAGAGAGGAAAATCCTAAATGTGCTTCTGCTACCGAGTAACATCCATCTGGAGGAGGTAAAGCTTCATGTTCCAGCTTTCAGACCGCACAGGACTTCACTGATCTGTCTTTAAAGGACAGTTTGACCGCTTTTCAAAAACAAAAAAGATACTTTAAACGACTGGTGGTCATATGAACTCTGAACAGCTTTTTCTTGCTGTAACCATTCCTATTCTTCAATCTGGACTCATTAACTGACACTGACTCCTCGTTCTGAAGTTGATATGAAACTTGAACAGTCTCAGGCACATCATGCGGAGATCTTCCAAAGTTATTTTTTCCCAGCATGATCTTTAATAATATATTAAAAAACACTTCCAACAACATAGAAGCAAATGTGGTCTCATCCTGTATAAAAAAACAACCGCAGGTAGATTACATTAAAATTAGGTCAGGAATAAATTTAGTCAAATGTTAAATGAACACCCAATATGTTAGCCTCCCTCCACATTTCTCTAAAAAGGACAAAGCAGTCATAGTTTTGTTTTAGCTGTTCTGTTGTATCAGCCAGTAGATAATCCAGTTAGATTGCAGCAATTTGAGCCACATTAACAGTTTGTGTTTGTGCTTCATGCTTCATGTCTTTTGAAGGGAAACACTCTTGTAAGTCTTTTCTCCAGGTATTTCATTTTAGTATAGAAGACTCAGAGGATCCCTCAACTGAAACATTTATTCATTTTGAGGTGAACCTCTGTCCCCAGCATTTCTGTTTCTGAGATGGATAATGGTGGATAGACAAACTTTGAGATGAACTGTATTAATTTTTTAATAATAATTTTTTTTTGTATTAGCCTTGAAGCTTTGGCAATATTGTTCTTTTGACTTTCATGTCAAGAAAGCAAATTGAAATTAACAATTGAGAGGGTTTCATCCAAATATTTCCTAACCTGATACTACAACATAATCATTCCCAACTATGGGATTTTTTTATGCTTTTTCAACATTTTGATTTTTGCTGAGTAAATAAAGTAGTAAATACTGAGGGAGAGGAACTGTGACTGAGCCATTTTCAATAATCCTTCAAGATGGAGGGGATTTATCTGAATAATCATTGTCCTCAGATTGGGGCACAGAACGCCTCCTCTATCACAAGGAGGGTACAGGACTGGGGGGTTCCAGTTCCACAGAAGTCTTACAGAAACTTTCTTGTGTGTACGTTTTACTGACATCTAGTGGTGAGGGTTGTGAATGGCACCCCCCTCCCTTATCCAAGCGTGTTGTATAGCTACGGTGCCTGAGACAGGACAAAACATGTCATCTATGAGATAAAAGGCTTTGCCAGTCAAGAAATCAGGTTTCTTTAGATAGATATATTAATAAACTATATTTACTTAATTATTCAGTAAAACCACATGTTTTTTCTGAATATTATTGTTACTTGTTCATTAATAAACAGCCACATGAAGAAATGAAGTGCTACATGATGTCTCATACTCCTGTAATACAGTATTTTACATCTTGGGAGGGTTGGCTCATCTGGACTAACACACCAAAGTAAATGAAGAACATCTCAAACACTATCACATCTAGTGCATCAAGTCTGACCACTGACAGATACCAGGACAATGTGAGCCTCACTGTTTCTGCACCACAGTCCATTATAAACCACATCATACATGAAGTTAACAAAGGCATTGGCTGGTGAGCAATCTGCAAATCTTACCGAAATGTTTTTTTTACAGAAACACAAAGTAGTACTGACAGCCATAATTTCAGCTTGTAGTAAAACGGTGCATTTTTAATGGGCATTTAGCATGTGAAAGTACAAATTACACATTTGTGTGCACAGTGAAAAAAAACATGTTTTTTTATGCAAATTCAGAAAGTATTTATTATGGATCACTTGATAGACACATGGTCCTGTTATATATCACTATTAGCAGTAAAAGAAATACATGTTTTCCACCAGGGTAGTATTCAACAGAAGTTTAGCTGCTGATCTGAGCTTCCCTGCTGTTATGGTTTCATTGCCAATAATATTCATCAGCTGTTTGTCTCAGGAAGGTAACGGCACATTTCTGTCCACCTAACAAAGCCATAACAGAGTGCTGGAGAAGAACTACATGAAGTTAAAATCCAACTACATATTTTTTCTTCCAGCGCAGTAAAAGTTTAGCTTGCTGATCTGTGCTTTGATGCTGGAAGCTGCATTTTATTGCCAATTAGTGATCAGCTGATTGTCTCACGAAGGTATCAAAACCAAACCAGAGCGCAATTACATGAAATAAATCCAACTAACGTTACATATTTTACACCACAAGCCAAAGCACAAGCTGGAGAATAAGTAGGCGCCATGAAATTAATCCATATTTCACACCACTGACAGGGGAAACATGTCAGGGCTCTCTGTGATTATGGCCAGCTAATAGCTAAAGCTATCAAACAGGAGCTTTCATTTGTGTCGCTAAAGTCTGACTTTAGTTAATTACCTGTCCAACAGAAAACGGATAACTTCAGCACCGCTTTGAAAACATCTGTCCCACATTATAGCCTTCCAACTGGGAAAATCGACATCCGTGATTTCTGCCGTCAGCTGTCTGTATCTGTCCCGGTCTGGCTTCATGGTATAAAGATCCACAGGCTGTCGGCTCTCGTGCTAAATAACATGTGTGCTCGTTCAGTTGTCCAAATGTCACTTCTCTTCTTACTTCTAATAAAGTCACAGACTGCATATCATTGTTATTATTATTTCCTCTTCTTCTTGTATGTATTCAATGTAGTGATGGGCATCTACACTGCCAGAATTATACAAGCAGAAGAAGAAGGCCTTGATGACGAAACACGCTGTGTAGCGCTGTTTGTCCGTTGTCAGCTATGGTAGAAATCAGAAATGTTACACACTGAACCTTTAATTTGGAGAATAGGTTTGGAGGAGGCGGCAACAGGACGTTCTGAAACAAGTACAGGAGTATGTTTGACTTCACAACTCCTGAATTTGCATATTAATTCTTCATATAAGCAATTCAGGTTGTTACATTTCCAAAAAAAGATAAAACGGGGGTTTCTGCACCCTAACACAGAACACCAGGCACAGCAGATTTACGGTCCTAACGGCGGGTGCAAGCTTACAGCAGTGGCAAGGGTCAAAGGCAGGTAGGCAGTCCAACAAAAGGCAAACAAATACAAACAAGAAAGCAGGCAAAACATTTTACCGAATAATCCACTTTCTAAACAATCCAACAGAAGAAAAAGCCAATATAGCCCCGGCTATATTTCCTCTATTGCTCTAGCTACATCTGTACTGAAGTACAATAATACTGTACTAATTCTGAAATACTAGGTATTCGAAGGGCATCTAGAAAGGACTTTTGCTTTTGTTAATGAGTATATTTTGTTATATCTGAACTATGTATATTTTCAAAATAGCTATTTCATTAATTCCTGGAGGATCAACAACAATCTGTCCATTACTATTTTACAGAGGTGAGGTTTTTTCCTTTTGTAGCTGCTAAAGGCACCATTTTTTATACTGAACCCACTTTGGGAGATCTCCACTGATGTGTCGAACACAGACTGTCAAAGGTTCTCACATAATGTTAGGATTTTTTTTCTTTTGAAGATAACCCTTTTAAATGTTAACATGTTCTGTTGTCTCTTCAGGTCAGTAAACAGCAGCAGCCTTATAAGAACATCAAGACTGCTTCTAAATGCAAACTCATCAAAGATGAAAGTTACACTCTTGTCTGTCCTGAGGCCATCAAAATTCAGCCTACGGTGAGTATTCTAAATAACAGTCTGTTCTGACACGAATCATCGAACTGCTGTTGGTTACCTTTGGTTTACTTTGGATGCTATGGAAGTTCTGACACTTTGGTTTTCAGGAAGAAGATTTTGATCTGGACTTTGGACCAAATTACCATCCAACATATGAGATCTTCCTGCCTACAAATGCAGAAGAAGTTAATTTAACGGTCCAAGACCAAAGAGAGACGGAGGTCTGGAAGCGTGAAGTTGATCTAACAGGTAAAACATTTTCTGCATCACTCCACCTGATAGTGCAGCAGAAAAGATTAACTGTTAATGATTGATCCGTGGTGCCTTTATTCTTACTCTGCCTCAGATCGTCATGCAGTCCACTTTTTAAACCAGTTTTTAAGGATCTCATTGGCCATGGAGCTCCAGGGCCAGTTTGAATAAGACACTGTATGAAGTAACCGTTGTTGGTGTCTCTGGTAGTGAATTATGGGATGAATCTGCAGCTTTACAGAGCTTTATAGTGACCTTCAGCAGTTTGTTTTTGCCGAATCACCTGGATTTTGGTGTTTGGATAGTTGTTGTCTTTATTAAACCAACCTGTGTGGGGACATATATGTACAGTAGGGATGTTATGTGGACTTAAAAGATAAAAAGATGTCTAAGATAATTAGGTTGTGATAGCTGTGGGGCCTAAAATACAACTTCCACTGCATCAACAATAAAACTGCTGTAACTACTGTTGCATTTCTACACCAATAAACATATTAAACTAAATGCAATACTCCGTAAATACTTTCACAACATTTTATAATAATGGTGGACTTAAAAATCCACCACAGAACCGAAAAAAAGACCCAAAAGTGTCTCCAGGCAGAGCAGAAACTGCCTTCTCACCTGATAGGATGTCCTTAACTAGCAAATTAACAGGGAGACTCTGGCCAAAATTATTATTATATATATATTATATTATATACTATTCAGAACAAGGGGCATTTTAATTATCTGAGGACATTTAAGCTTCCAGCTGCAAGTCTCGTACATCTTCTGTTTCGATCATCAATAAATCATTTAATCGTACCTATCGATTGTGTGGTTCTTGCTAGTGAAGGGTCTTTCCAGGGTTCAGAGGTGATTGGTCTCTGTAGGAAATTGTGATCAGAGAAAAAAACCTATGCGAACTCTTTGGGAGTAAGTTTTCTGGAGCGGGTAGATGTTCTCCTTTAAATAATCTTTTAGTAGATGGTTGATGAGGAGAGCGAGATCTATTGCGGTCTACAGTATTTTGTGAGTAAACAAGTGGACCTGTAGAACCTGAGATGAAAGATATCCAAAGAAGGTTAAAGTCAAGGGCAACTGGACTTGGTTGAAGATAGAAGACGTTTCGTCCTTCATCCAAGAGGCTTCTTCAGTTCTGACTGACTGATTTAACCTCAGTGGGGTCGTTTGCCAGGATTGTCGATACCGCTGGTTCGTTAGTGTTCCTGGCTGTGGTAACGACAGTCGTTACCCGAGGCCAAGTCTTTTCTTGGGTCTCGTCTCAGTGTCTCATACGTGTTTGTGTCCATTAGTAGTGTGTTGACTTTGTTCTGGTAGTCGGCTGGGTGAAGGACTACTGTGCATCTTCCTTTGTCCGCAGGTAGGACAGTGATGTTTTGATCCTTGCTCAGAGATGTCACAGCCTTCCTTTCTTGGATGGTGAGGTTGGAAGGGGGGGCCTTCGCATTAGAAAGGGCTGCAGATACTCTTGCTAATCATTTTGGGATGAACATCCTCAGATTGGTACAGGAGTATGAAAGGACAGCCAGGAAAATTGCAGACTACAGGAACCATCTACGATTCAACCTGAGATGCAGACAACACAAACTCATTCCCAACAGCCTCCAAGGTGAAAGGACACAGAGCCGGAATAATCCTGGAGAAAGCGCAACACCAGCTACTGAACGAGAGAGTGAGACAGATACACTTCACAATTGAAGCCCTGAACAAAGAATTGGACAACATACACCGCAAACTAGAAACATATCTGACCAGTACAGCACTGGGAAAGGTCATGGACTTCATCAAGAAAGCACAGCTATCTCAGCACAACAAAGCAAAGAAAGACAGACCCGGAAATTCCAAAACCTACAGTCCAGAGCGAGCTGCACTAACAAAACAGGAGAATTATCTTGGAGGAGAAAGGAGAACAACCCCGCAACACAAAGAACCAGACAACAGATGGGTGAAAAACCAGAAAGGGAACTAACATACCAGAGCAAGCTTTGCCATCACACCACAGCCACAGAATCGGCCATTAGGAAAAACAAATTAACAGAAACAGAAGCGGAACAGCTCAGACTAAAGCTATCTGCAGCCCTTTCTAATGCGAAGGCCCCCCCTTCCAACCTCACCATCCAAGAAAGGAAGGCTGTCTTTTAGTACATAGGTTAAGAACATCCACTGCATTTTTTAACAAACCACCTATTTAAAGTTTAAAAAGAAATAAATCATAAATCAAATCAGGTAAAAGCTCCTGTAAAATGACGTTAGCTTCCTTCACAGTTCGAGTTGAGTGTAGTACGCAGGCGCCACTGGTTACACATTCAGTCGACACTCTGTTATAACGAAGGAGGAGGACTTGCTCCACGTGTTCATCGGGAAGTATGTTTCTCCATAACTGGATAATCTGTTACTCCCCAACCCTGGGCATGAGCTATATCCAGTAACTAATGAGCTTTGTGACCTGTTTCTTTTTCAGGAGACTACAAAACCCAAAGCACTGATCATGAACATGGTAAAAAAAACACATTTAATATGCAAGAATTAAATTAGGATTGAGAAATGAGAAGATGACTTGACATAGTTCAACCATGTGACCATTACAACTTCTAGTATTCACTGTTTGTTTGATGTTCCGTGACGTCCTCAGGTCAGCATTTTGTGGATCGCCATCGGACAGCTCTGATTAACAGAGTGAGCGACACAGCAGCCATCCTGGATAACCTCATGGAAAAGGGGCTGATCTCAAGTGAGAACTATGAAGCTGTGAGAGCCAAACAAACCACACACGACCAGATGAGAGACATTCTTAAGTTTCTGCCTACAGCCAGAGGCAAAGACGCTCTCTATAAAATCCTGAAAGAGATGAGAAATATGAAGGCTCTCCTCGACGAGCTGGAGGGATCTGGATAAACGAGCACAACGTAAAAGTAAAAGTGTTGGAGCCTCTGACAGTAACAGCATATTTGTCACTGAGATGACAAAACTGAAATGTGAAATGTAATGACAGCTTAGGAGAGAGCGTATATCCTGACATCAGCAGTGTTGGGAAAGTTACTCAGTACTAAGTAATATATCCTCCTTTAAAAGTAATATTCACTTAATACTGGGAGATAAAAGTAAGCGCTGATCTCGACAACCCAGCTGTTTTCTAGCTTTGGACAGGTTTGTGCAGCGGTGTATAAGTTTCCGCACATCCGTCGACGGCGCTCTCTCCCCACGAGTCCAGCGTCAGTGACAGCAGCTGCCGGAGTTTCTTTCTGTGAGTGTCACGTCGCTGCTTCAGCAGATGCTTCAGTAAATCAGATGGAGAAAAGTTGGCGAGTTTACAACGGACGACATGTTCTTTGAATCTCAGACTGACACAATGTGTGAAATGTATTAACAGGTGATGACTGATGTTTGAAGAATGGAGTAAAGGAAAATAATTGATAAACAATTGAGGCTGGTGAATTAACAGTTTTTAAAAACAAATACATACAAAGAGTATATAAAAAGTGGATTACTGGTATTAATTTGGTTTATAACTATTTGGTAGTTTGATGTAATTAACCTTGATTTGCATTTACTGATTTAGCTGACATGTTTATCCAGTGTTAAAGAAATGGTTTGAAGCATTTTACCTTAATTAATTGAACTTTTTGTGGAATATAATGATATTTTGTGGTATGATTGAGTGAATTCTGCAGCACATTCTTTTCGGGTTTATTACCAGTGGAAAAAAATGGAAAGGCAAACCAAAACGCTTTTGGCCCCTGGCTGCACGCGTGCAGTCGTGTTTGTATTCAAGAGGCCGTATTACGCAGTTTGACTGGATGCTGCACCGCAAATATAAAACGCATCGCCCAAATCACTTCCACAGAAACAAGAACAAACTCACCATTACCAAGCAAACACAATCAGCATTCAACAGGCTTCCCCAGATATCCCAGCCGAGCTGCCGCGCCTAAATCCCCACGCCAACAAGACGCTCGGTCTCACACCAGCAGCAACAGGCAGCTAGAAGCAAACGCTAGCAGTCTGTCTGTTGACCTCCTTTGTCTGTTGTTGAAACAGAGGCCCAGCTAGCAGTGATGTATAAAAATCAAACTTACCAAAGCTGCTCATCATTTTATTTCTTTAGAAATTCTTCATGACACGTTCCTCTCGATTGCCATGGAGACCAGTGCTGACAGTCGATCCTGCCCAGTCGGATTTCTTTAAGACGTTTTAATGCGTTTCAGGGCTGAGACAGCAAGATGGGAACATCTGATTGGATAAAAGCCCTAATATGAGCTGCACTGTGTGGAAGCAGCGCAACTGATAGTTTATTTAACGAAATAACGTTAATTAAAATATGTTTTGTTTACCCCGCGACCCTGTGCGCAGGATAAGCGGGGTAAACGCTATGGACGATGGATGGATATTTAGTCTTTTCATGTTTGGACTATTTCTAGGCCAGCAGAGGAGGCTTTGCAGACTCTGACGGGCCGCCGCTGGTAAACCGAGCGCCAGCTGACATTATCAGTAAACAGAAAGCAGTCCTGCACCTTGTCAGTGCAAATTCATATCAGCTGGTTCTGTTACTGGAAACGCAGCTTTAGGACCCAGAGACGCAGACACGGAGCAGGTAACTGGTGAGCCGAAGGTGTTTATTCCAAACAGACTCAATCAAGAGCAACTGGACTTGGTCGAAGACGTTTCGTCTCTCATCCTTCTTCAGTCCAGCTGCCCTTGATTTAACCTGCCTTGGACGGACAGCTGTTCCTGTCAAACAGAGCTCCTGGTTCCGGTGCAGAGGACTGTCAGAAGAAACTAGAAGATGTTCTTTAAACTCGTAGACTTCAAAATGAATCAAACAGCAAGTGTTTGGTTTCACAGCTGGACCGTCGTCGCCCTGACACGCCTGCGTCCCCCGTGAGGGCGTCCAGTAGTGTTGTGTCGTTCAAAGAACGTTTCGTTCATTTGACCTGATCTTGCATGTGACTCAGGAGGAAGGGGTCGTCTCAGTGAGCACACAGCAGCTGCCTGGGCTCCGTCAGCACAGGAAACAGAACTGATTAGTTCAGGACTCTGTGGGTCTCTGGGTTTGAGTCGTTCATTTGTCACGTGACATCTCGCTACTGTGGAGCAGGAACGAGTCGTTCTCAGAGTCTGTCTTCACTCGGCAGGCTTTTTATTCATGGACAGAGCCCTGCTGTGTTTCGCAGCTCCTGACTGGTGAACAACCTGCAGTGTTTGAGATTATTATTAAATTTAATAAGAGTGTGTTTTATTTCTTCATAACAACACTACACAGGAATGAGCACTTTAGAGATATAGTGATCCGGTCTGGTTGTAAACTCAGGAAAGATTGTGACCGAATATTGACAACATATTTCTGTGGTTCTTACATGGTTTGAATTTGGGGCTTTATAGAACCATGATGGAGAACGATCAGGAGGTGAATTTGTGCATTATACTTAGAGCAGCCTTCTGTGTTTGAGAACTGCGCTGTGGGCTGCAGCGCCGCAATAACCAGCCAAGTTAAAATGAAAAAAATGACACAAAAAATATTAGTTCATTTTAATGAACGAGATTTGGTGACTCGAGTCTTTCAAAAGACTGACTTTTCCCATCACTAGCGTCCAATGAGATGCCTGGGATGCTTCCTGGTTGTGTGCGATTAATGTTCCCCACAGCTGTGGCCTGTACTACGAAGCGGGGTAACTGGCTTATCCAGGTAACTTCAGAGGGCTGTTTCACAAAAGCAGAATTTAGAAATCCAGGATAAGAGATAAAGCCAGGCTTGACATTGTGCGATCGGTGCATCCCGGCTTTATCGGTTTCATGAACGCCAAACCAGGCTCAGAAGGTGCGACTATGTCGAGCCAGGTGGAAGTAATTCAGAAAATGTGCGTCCGCAGCTTTCTTCAAGAGACCACACGGTCGATCACAGAGTCGGGGGGGGCAGCCACTGACTCTGACTTGTGGAGCTACCGAGGATAACGTGAATCCAGTGAGTATTCATTAAAGGCATAAAGGCCAGGCGCCTGCGCACGCTAGCTTAATATGAGTTTGGTTAATGTGGCAGAGTGAAAGAACTTCTGCAGTAGACGATCAGGAGACTCAAGAAGGCTGGAGGTATCATGTCACTCTTGTGGAAATATTAATCCATAATGGAAAAGAAGTCACTGAACAGGACTCAGACGGTGTACTGCCCGAGAGCCAATCTGGGAACATAGGAAGTATTAACTTACATTTACTCATTTGGCAGACGCTTGTATCCAAAGCAACTTACATTTGAAACAACATACAAACAATAGTAAAGTAAGAGATGTATGAGTAACTATATATATATATATATTTATACACACACACACAACGATATGATCTACTAACACAATGGGATAAATACCTAGGTGAAGCAGTAAGATTGAACAAATAGTGCAATCAAGACAAGGGACATCTTACTATGCACAGTTCATGCTCTGTAA